AAATGTATCGACTGCCAGTACAGAATTATTCTAAATCTAAAGAAGAGTGCCTCATTTTTAGGATACTTTGATAAATTCTCTTTGGTTAGCCTTATTGAAAAGTATTGAAAATTAGAAAGACTGGGCTACTTGGAATATGTGATTTCTGAGGTCAGGATCCTCACTCAAGATGGCAGGAAGTAGTGGGAGGTGATGTCCAGTACAAACTACCTAGAGTACAGGGTGAGCTAATATGAGTCACTGGTATAGTAATAGGTTCAATTATTTTTCTCCCTCAGACACATTTAATCAAACCAGGCACTAAAATGCTGACATTGCTTCCTGGAGAGAGAAAATGTGATATTTCTTTTATTCAAAGAAGAAGCACTCGGCAGACCAGTATTGCATCCTTTGTCACCTTGCAACCAGGTATGGTGACCCGCTTGGGAATATTACATTATCTGAGGAGCAGAATAAGTGTGTTCATTTCTCCATGTTGAAACATTTATGAACTGTAGATGTTGCTCTGGAAAAGGAATATATTATACATGCTTTTTATATGTGTGCTTTGCTGGTTCTGTTCTGCTCCGTGTAATTTTAACTTATTTGTCCAGAGCAGTGAGAAGGGGCATACGTGATAGCTCAGAGGCTTGAGCATACAGAGCCAGGTGGAGGGGGTGGGCCCACTCTTCGGTGTCACTCAGGATTGTTCTGTATAAACAGAATGTGTGTGCACTATTCCTCCTCCACATAAAACTTACACTTTTAATTTACATAACAAGGAAAGCTTCCTCTGTACCCCCAAAATCAACTTTCTCCAGGCACAAAATCTTGTGTATTTATTTTATATACTGTTGAATTATAAGAAAAAGCGAGTGTTCTCACAGAACAGTTTCTGCAGTGTAACTTATTAGGAGAGGACAAAAATAAAACCTACCATTCTGCTTTTTAAAACTGTATCTTGATATAATTTGAGTAGAATGAGAATCTGTTTCATTCATCCTTAAGGGAGAACAGGATCCATCCTACACTTAATGAAATGGACTAGCTAGACGCTAGTTTTTCAGTTTGTAACTGGTTGATTTAGCATCCTAATATTACCAGGAAATTTTATAGAGTTTGATAATGATTTTATGACCTTACAAAACATCTGCCGAGAATATTTCCTTAAGGGTAATATTTGGATTTGTGTTAGTGGCAGGATCAATGTTCAGTAGGAACCATAGTAAATAAAAAGTTTAAAAAGAAAAACTATTTTGCCCTGTGTTAAAAAGCATGTAACAAAAACTGAGTTGGAGAAGTTGGCCATGGTCTAACTGTAAACCACACTTGACATATTAGGTAGATGGAGGTTACTGGGAGCATCCACGTTTGAGTAGGGGAATATATGACGTAAGTTTTAGAGCATTCAGCATGGAAAAGCAAGATTGAAAACAGGACTATTAGCCATGAAGTTATTTCAAGAGTCTAGGACTCCTGTGCCCAGCAGTAATAGCAGCTGATACTGGTCTCAGAAAACAAAAAAATCCTGCTCAGGGCATTTTTTTTAGTGGAATTATCTTTCGTTTCATTAGGAATGGCAAATGGGGGGAACCAGAAGAGCATTTTATCTCTCAAAGAAAATCAGATCAACAAAGAATGCAAGAGAACCCAGGGATTGGGGGATTGCTTGGTATTACCTTTGACCACGTCAGCTCCTGCAGACATCCAGGAAGCTGGACATTCTCCTCCATCTTCCCAGTTCTCTAGCTGCCACATTTTGGAAACACCGTCTTTGACTACAACATCTTCACCCCAACCAGACATCCTGATGGACGCTGGACTAAGTGAAGCCTCCCTGACTTCTTCCTTTACCCAGGACATGGACGGTTGTTTGCTGGACCGAAGAGAGGCCAGAAAGAAAAGGGAATGGCTTCATGAATCTAAGACAAACTGTCCAGGCATGGGAAGCCACATTAGACCGTCTGCGGGTAAATGCTATCAGCCCTTGGACAAAGCTGAACTGGGAGAAAAAGGGACTGCCAAGGAAAACAGGCAGGCCTCTGTGCATCTTCAAACCTACAGGTTAGAATCCTGGAGTAGGAAAAAACCGCTGTTGGTGGCAAAAAGCCCTCTTTCTGTGTTTTCCTGGGATAGTGAAAGGAATGAGAGGGACTCGTGGAGTCAGCTTTTCACTGAGGATTCCCAAGGCCAGCAGGTCATTGCCCACAACACTAAAATGCCTTTGCAAGATATAACCAATGATAGGAATCAAGGCTCAGGGCCGTTTCCTGACAGCCCTCAGGCTCAGTGCCAACAAGAGCCTACTCTGTTACAGCTGCAGCCAAATCTGCTCTTTACCCAGGACTCTGAAGGTAATCGGGTTATCAGACACTACTTTTAAATGTTTGTGTGGGTGTATCTTGAAGTGGCAGAGATGGAGGGAAGAAGAGTGGGGCTGGGTAGAGAGGAGGGTTTAGGTGAGAGGCCATGTGGGCTGAAGCAGTTGTCATTATGGAACATTATGCTCATGTAAATAAAGCAAGCAGTGTGCGGTAGACATGCTTTTCTCTCAGGAAGGTGACTGGTGCATTCCATTGGATGGATGCCAACTGTTGACTGAAATCACTTCTCAGTTCAGAGTTGCTACTCTGTTCTTCCAGAGGCCTGGCTGTTTTTGCTTCCTACAGATATGTTCTCTTTTCACTTCTGGCTGGACCACACAAGCATGAGCTTGGGACCATTATTCCCAACTGCATTTTAAGAGATGTATCCCTCCCCAACCCAGGTGTGTGGAGCTAGCTGGTGGGAGGGCACATGATCCTTTTTCTTTTTAATGGTAACTATATACATTGTTGACCTGGAACTGGAGAGATGGCTCAGCAGTTGAGCATTTGCTACCTCTGTAAAGACCCAGGTTCAGTTCCCAGCATCCACATGACCTCTGCAGGCACCGAGCATACATGTGGTACACAGACATAAAATGAAATCAGTTAAAAACAAGTTGTTTGCTCTATCTACCCATTCTCAAATCTGAGCTGCGTAATAACCTAGTTTTTTTTATTACTCCCTGCCCCGTCCCCCCAAAAGAGGGAGGTTTCTTTTGGAAAACTGTGAAGCTGGATCTAGTGATAATTCAAAAAGTAACTTTTAGCTGGGTATGACAACTTAGGAGACAGGATTTCCATGAGTTCAAGGCCAACTCACAGCCACTTAGGGAATACTCAAGCAGCCTGAGCTAGAATGACACTGTGGTTTGAAAGAAAATGGCGACAAAGGGAGTGACACTATTAGGAGGTATGGCCTTGTTGGGGTAGGTATGGTCTTATTGAAGAAGTGTGTCACTGTGGGGGTGGGCTATGAGGTTTCTTGTTTTCAAACTTTCCTTGGAGTGGTGGTCAGACCACTTCATGTTGCAAGATGTAACTCTCAGTTCCAGCTGCCTGCATGCTGCCAAGTTCCCCTTCATGATCATAATGGATTGAACCTCTGAAACTGTAAGTAAGCCACCTCAATTAAATGTTTTTATTTTTAAAAGTTGCCATGTTCATGGTGTCTCTTCACAGCAATAAGAAACCTAACTAGGGGGCTGGAGAGATGGCTCAGAGGTTAAGAGCATTGCCTGCTCTTCCAAAGGTCCTGAGTTCAATTCCCAGCAACCACATGGTGGCTCACAACCATCTGTAATGAGGTCTTCTGGCCTTCAGGCATACATGCAGACAGAATATTGTACACATAATAAATAATAATAAAAAAAGGAACCTAACTAAAACAGACATCCTGGCTGGGCAGTGGTGGTGCATGCCTTTAATCCCAGTACTTGGGAGGCAGAGGCAGGCAGATCTCTGTGAGTTCAAGGTCAGCCTGGTCTACAGAATGAGTTCCAGGACAGGCTCCAAAGCTACAGAGAAGGTCTGGAGAGTTGGCTCAGAGGTTAAGAGAACTGACTGTTGTTCCAGAGGTCCTGAGTTCAATTTCCAGCAACCACATAATGGCTCACACCCATCTATAATGATATCTGGTGCCCAGAACACTATATAAATAATAAATTGAAAAAAAAAGGGGGGGGGGCTGGAGAGATGGCTCAGAGGTTAAGAGAACTGACTGCTGTTCTGGAGGTCCTGAGTTCAATTCCCAGCAACCACATGATGGCTCACATCCATCTATAATGAGATCTGGTGCCCAGAACCCTATATACATAATAAATAAATTAAAAAAGGGGGGGGGGTCTTTAAAAAAATACAGAAACTCTTGTCTCAAAAAACAAAAGCAAAACTCCCACATATCCTGCTCAAAAAGAAAAGGGAACACTGACGTGCAATTACATGTGCCACACCAGAGACCAGCTTCCAAGAGTCCTATCTCGTTTACATGATTCCAAGCTCAGGCTTGAGTGGCAAGACTTTCTTTTTCTGAGTCATTTTGCCAGCCCAATATAGCCAAGGTATCCTGGAACTCACTTGTAGACCATGTTGGCCTCGAACTCAGAGCTCCAACGGCATTTGCCTTCTGAGTGCTGGGATTAAAGGTGTGTGCCATCACCATCTGGTCCCAAGTCAGCTTTTTAGTAACTGGTGCCACTGTCCTGTGTTCAGTCTACTCCGAGCACCACTGTCCGTATAGCCGTTGTGTCACAGGTATGACACCCGAGGCGTAAATAGCCTCTAGGATGTGCAAACACAGAATGCTAAATAATGGAACTACTCTTAGGAGATTTTGGAAATTTTCTATGAAAAGGAGGACAAAACCCTTTAGAATAAAATGTCTGGGTGTTTTCTCTGAATGTATGTCTGTTTACCTCATGTGAGCCTGATACCTATGAGACCAGAAGTGTCAGATCCCTGGGACCGGAGGAACAAATGACTGACAGCCATGTTCTTGGAAGAGCAACCAATGGTCTTGACCTCTGGGTCATTTCTTCAGCCCCAGGAAACTTCCTCCTACAGCAGTGGTTCTCGATGTGGGTCACGATCCCTTTGGGATTGTGTATTAGGTGTCCTGCATATCAGATATTTACATTATGATTCATAACAGTAGCAAACTTACAGTATAAAATAGCAACAGAATAATTTTATGGTGGGGGGGTCACCACAACATGAAGAACTGTATTAAAGGGACACAGCATTAGGAAGGTTGAGAAACACTGTCCTAAAGGCAAGAAAGTAAGGAGCCTGTTTAAGCTCACATAACTTACAATTAACAGGAGTCCTCCCCAAAGGCCACTGTGGTCAAAACTCAGTGATAGATAAAGAAAATGCACCATTTCTCCAAATCCTTCATTTAATGTCAGGTAGTACTTCAACTCAGACACACAGTATTCTTAGAGAAAAGGGCCCTGAGGGCACCTGAGTCATGCACGATGCAGAAAATAAAATCTTGGCCCAACCCAGAGAAATCGGTTATTGTCTTAGAAGGATAGTATGCTCTTTTCTCTCCCCAATTCTCCTTCCCAGACTTAAGTCCATGGAAGAAAATAATTTCACTCAGTAGAACTGCTGAGGCCCTGGAGGGTAGATCTGGTTGTAGTTTTATAAAATGTTTAAGAAAAAAATAGCCCAGGCCTCCCTGCAGCAGCCAAGTATTGGCTGGTTCAGTGGCCTGACTGCCATAGCTAGAGGAAAAGGTGACTGCTGGGCACTGGTGTGGGTTCTGATGGAGCAGCATAAGATCGTCCCTGTGAACATAAACAGCCACTCCCCCTTAACCTTGTAGTGCTGAAAGGAAGCTGCTGCTGAGAGTGACAGCTGTGCACAAAGTGTCCAGTAGACCAATTATGGAGTCTAATGCAGTGAACTGAGTCATTCATTTAGGGCCTATTTTCACGCAGAGACTAGGAAAAACAAGAAACTTCACCTCTTAAACAGACATTCCACCCTACCCGATTGATTACCTGTAACAAATGCCTAAACTCAAACCACAAACCTTAGCTTCAGTCAAGGTTTAAGTGCAAGTAACACATAATCCAGCTCTTCTCTTCCAGCCCAAGCCCTAGCTCGTTGGCAAGACACTTGCAGACTTCTAACGGAGGCAGAGACATCTGCAGCGAGGAAGGCAGCTATTGAAGGAGTCAGGAGCATGAGACTGAGGTTGCAGTCAGTGCTGTCAGTTTCCTTTTCTACTAATGTCTTCTTCCTTCAGAGCAAACTTCCTCCTAAGGACCTCGGAGATAAGCACAGCAGGGTCTTCTTCCTTCAGTAAACTCCGGCTTCTGGAGACACAACAAGAGCTTCTATTTAGGAAGTAATTGCTCTGTTCTGGGTTGTGCTCTATGTGCATTTTTTTTTTTTTTTGAGATGGGGTTTCTCTGTGTAACAGCCCTAGTTGTCTTGGAACTCTCTCTGTAGACCAGGCTGGCCTCAAACTCACAGAGATCTTCCTGCCTCTGCCTCCCAAGTGCTGGGATTAAAGGCGTGCGCTACCACGCCTGACTTCTCTGTGCACCTTTTACCTCCTGAATCTTCACAGCTATTCTGTGAAGCAGTTGCCAGTGTATGTTCCCACACTTATGGGAAGATTCAGCACACAAAAGACATGGAGTCACAGTCAACCTCTGGCCTTTAAAACCAGCTGTTTCTGTACCCCATCTTCTCTTAACTAGAATGTATATTTTTTTTTTACTGTATTTTATGTATGAGTGCTCTGTCTGCATGTACATAAGACTGTATGCCAGAAGAGGGCATCAGACCCCATTATACATGGTTGTGAGCTGTCATGTGGTTGCTGGGAATTGAACTCAGTCCTCTGGAAGAGCAGCCAGTGCTCTTAACCACAGAGCCATCTCTTTAGCACCTATAATACTTGTTTCTTGATTTCCTTTTAATATTTTATTTTATGAGCATATTTGTATGTGGGCGTTGGATCCCCTGGAACTGGAGAACTGCCACGTGGGTGCTGGGAATTGAACCTGGGTTCTCTGGAAGAGAAGTCAGTGCTCTTAACCACAGAACCCTCTCCAGCCCAGAATGCCTGTTTCTTACATGGCTACAAAAATAGGGTAAAATGAAGGCCCATCAATTTTTTGGAGTTCTGATCTATTTTCAAGAGGGTCTGCAGTAAGTGACTGATGGCTTTGCCATTCTGATCCTTACTAGTTCTGGAGACAAGACAATCTACCACCATCTTTCCTTAATAGATAAAAATAGCAAAACATTTACATTATAAGGAACTGTTGGAACCAAATCAACTCTAGTGTAGGCATACCTTTATCACACAAGAGGGTCCTGAATGCTCTAAAAATTAGTTGTCTGAAGCTACTAAGTTCTACACATTTCATGCAGGTGTTTTACAGGTCTTGGAAGCGATACACAAAGACCAAAACTGACTCTGACTCACATGTCTGAACTTTAGCTGACCTGGCTGAGACAGTCTTAGTTACTTCTGTTAGAGGCCAGTACACACACGGGAGAGATTTAGTAAAAATTTTGGATATGATTTGGTCTAAGAAGCCAAGTAACAGGCTGGGAGGTTATGGTGCACACCTTTAATCCCAGCACTTGAGAGGCAGGTGGATCTCACTGAGTTCAAGGCTAGCCTGGTCTACAAAGCAAGTTCTAGGACAGCAAGGACTTTTACACAGAGAAACCCTGTCTTAAGGAAAAAAGATAAAGAAGCCAAGTAACAGAAGGTGACCTGGTGACAAACACCTGCATTTCCAGCACTCAGGGAGCAGAGGCAGAAGGATTCTAAGTTCAAGACCAGCTTGAGTTACAGAGACACAGACAAGGGGCATGTTTTACAACACTGACTACAAGAGGAAGGGTACAAAGCCAACCGAAAATGAGGTGAGGCAGTAGCTGGATTTGGGGAAACGAGAGATGGAGGAACCGCTATGGGGCAGATAGGAAGAACAGTGACTAGGATAGTTTCTTGGCCAGCACTAACAAGGACAGCTATACTGGCTACCTATCAAGGCCAATCTCCAACTAAGGCACCCCAAAACAAGCTCCTGTAGAGTGGCTCAGAGTACATTTGGAGAACTACAGGCTCCCTCAGGCAGTTCTAGAGCTTTTCTACCAGGAAGCTTCTAGAGGGGCTCAAGAAAATGACCTTGCTTCCAATTTGGCCTGTCCAGATTCCCTTAGACTTGAGCATAAGGCAACCACAGCTCCATTCTCTGGACATTCTGATTTGGTAAGTTTGCTGTGTACAAATTTGGGCCGGGTGTAGTGACCCTTGCCTTTGATCCCAGTACTTGGGATGCAGAGACAGGCAGGACTCTCCAAAGCGAGTACCAGACCAGCCAGGGCTTCACAGTAAGACCTTGACTGAAAAGACCAACCAAAGCTCCAAATCTGAGCAGTTTAATGTGCAGCCAGATTTAGGAACTAATTATGAATCTTAAAACCTTGCTCTCAAGCTGGGTGTGAGGGCACATGCCTTGAGTCCCAGCACTTCTGGAGTCAGGTGGAGTTCTAGGCCAGCCTAGTCTATGTAGCAAGTTCAAGGATAGCCAGGGCTACACAGAAAAAGAAACCCTGTCTCAAAAAAAACAAAAAAAAAACAAAAAAAAAACAAACCAAAACCCTGCTGGGTTCTCAAGTACCAGAACTTGAAGGTTTTATCTTACAGAGTATCGTATGAGTGCAGGTGCCTGCAGAAGCCGGGGGTGTTAGATCCCCTGGAGCTGGATTACAGACGGCTGTGCTATGGGTATTGAGAATCAAATTTGGGTCCTCTACAAGAACAGTCTTGCTCTTAACCACTAAGCCATCGTCCCAGCCTCAAGCTATTTTATTTAAAAATAAAATCTTTATGAAATTCTTCCACCAAAAAGTCTGCTAGTTTCCCAACTATGAAGGGCAAAGCATGTTGAAATATGGTAGCTAGCAGTATGCAAATTAAAAAGCTACTGAGGTGGGTTTTGTTTTAAATGTGCATTGGTATTTTGCCTGTGTATGCTTGTGTGAGGCTGCCAGATCCCCTGGAACTGGAGTTAGACAGTTGTGAGCTGGGAATTGAACCTAGGTCTTCTGGAAGAGCAGTCAGTACTCTTTAACTGCCTTGCTCTCTACAGCCCTTTAGCTGCTGAGTCTTAACAGAACAATTGGAGGCTCTTGCTTTTTCCTCAAACTAGGCCCTAGTCAGTCAGCAAGCTCTGTGAATGTAGTAACAATTACTCCTCGTCAGCCACAACTGACTCAAGCTCACCTGAGCTCTCATCAGATACTCACAGGTCTTGGCTCTGTTTGATCCGGTGAAAATCCTTCAGGATGCCCATCATGTCTGCAAAGCTGCTGGCCTTAGACAGGGAGATGCAGTCATCCTCTTCAGATGAACTGCAGGTAGCTTTGTGTTCTGGTTTGCAACATTCAGGGCTGGCAGAACAAAGCAGGGGGATTGTTGGAAGCTCAGAGACCTCCCCCTCAGTCTCCTCAGTGATGTCACTAATGACAAAGGAAGTTGTAGAGTGGAATGAGGATCCAAAGCAAGGTAAAGGAGAAGAGACATTTGAACTTCCTGGAGATAAGAAATCTGGCGTTAATGAAGACGAAGCTGAAAGAGAAAACAATAGATGTAATGGACACTGGGCTGCCATCAAGCTTCTCACAAACACCACCCACAGAGCACACTCATTTCCTGAACCCACATCATGACATTCCTAGAGTGCTAAGGGAGGGTGTCCCCAAGGGAGCCTTCCCCACTCTACTTCCCACTGAGGGCTCAGGTAGGCAGAGAAGCACTGGCTCTTGTCGTGTTCAAGACAGAAAACCCTGTCCCACACACACAGTCATGAGTCCTAAATGCTCCCAATGCACAGTGAACTACAGGTTGGCAGCCCTGTTCTAAACTGAAGCCAAGTAAGGCCTGCAGTTCCTACATTTGTCATTTTCTCGATTGTGACAGTGTTTCAAGTTGATAGTTTGAATTCTGCTATGAGCTTCAAGTGTTCTAGACAAAACTCCCCAGTTTTAATTGAGACAACTGTCTTTAGTGTTCCTAAGAAATGATACCAGTTTTTCATATTCTATGGCTCATTTTTTTTAAAAAAAATACTGCATTTATTTATTGTATGTGGGTGGGTATAGGTTTACCATAGAGTAGGTCAGAGGACAACTTTCAGGAGTCTGTTCTTTGCTCTACCATGTGGGTCCTAGGGATGGAACTCAGGTAATTAGACTTGGTGGCAAGTGTCTTTACCTGCTGAGCCATCTTACTGCCCCCCACACTACAACTTTTATGTATGTGCTCCACTAGCTGATAGTGTTTAGGAGCTATGTCTGAGTCACTTGGGGGAGATTGACTGTCTATGCCTCTGGTTAAGGCAGGCTCCTCTCCTTCTGTTTAAGCCTCTGCCTTAATTGCATGCAGAAAGCTGCATAGAGAAGTATTCTCTGGTAGAAAAGACAATTAGAGGGAGATAGGTAATTAAGGGGCTATGTCTCATGGTGCTGGTAAGGAATGCTTATATTGAAAAGTGAGCTCTTTGGGTTCATGGGATATGTGATATTAATGACAATTAGAAAAGGGGTATTAGGTTTTTGGCTTTGAGAAGAAATTTCCTCAGTGTCACTGGTTAACTTAAAATTTTGTTCCTAATCAAACCAATCAATAAATGACTAGTAAGACATCTTCTAAAAAATATTACAGGATATCTGGGCCTCAGGTCAACTCTAGAGCCCTAGGCCTAAGTCTTTCTGAATCAGAGACTATAATTTTTCTCATCCTTGTCTTGCTCAATAACCAGGGGCAGGGGAAAGGACAACCTGCTATGCTACATCCTCAGTGGGGCTCCTACCTGCATCTGCTGCCACTATTTTAGCAATCTGGCTGCGCAAGTGGCTTAGTTCATCCTGCAGCTCAGTGGTGCGGCTTAGGGCAGGTAGGCCTGGCTTCTTCAGGGCCAGGAGCCTCTCCTCAGACCCACGCAGATTGGGCACCGAAGCATTCCGCTGCATGACAATCAGAGGGCTGGGCTTCCAAGTGTGTCTTAGGGGGCGCGTATCACTCCTGAACCAGAGGGAAAAAGTCTTACTACAGACAGCTGACCACTATACTCGATTAAATTCCTTCACCCCACAGGGTCTACCACTTCCCTCTAAGACCATAGCTCTCATTCCTGTTGGCCTCAGCCTCAAAAAACACCCTCCTTGCTGATCGCCATTTCTGGTAGAAAAAGCTCCCCATCACCAGCAGAGCAGCTACTGCCTCGACTACCTGACCCGAGCATATGTCTCCTCTTCATCTGCAGCAATCCAGGCAATGTCAGCCAAAGTAGGGACTGGAGGTACATCTCTCAAACACAGGTCAGAAATGTTGGGCAGAGTCTGTAGGAAAGCAAAACACAACATTTATTCAACATGATGACAGCTAATTGGATTAATGCAAAATGGGACACCTAATCCAGTACTAAGTGAGGAAGGCTTCCTAGAGTAAGGAGAAAGTTTCTTGGTTACAAATCAGGCTATTTAATGGGACTGGCCTGAGCCTCTCCACCCCCAATGTGTTTGGATGTTTTGCCTGCATGTATGGCCATGTGCTGTGTGCATGCTTGGTACCAACAGATGCCAGAAGAAAGTGTCAGATCTTCTAGAACTGGATTTATAGGTAGTTGTGAGCTGTGATGTAGGTGCTGGAAACCAGACCTAAGTTTTCTGGAAGAGCAGCTGCTAAGCCATCTCCCCAGCCCCGAATACTAAATGTTAATAGTACTTATATAGTCCTTCTTTGAAGAACCTGTGTCCTTAACTATCTTTGCTCAGCAGCATCTGGACAATGGGTATAGTCAAATGTGGGAAAACTTCCACGGTGTTACATTCCACAACTTTATTTCCCCTTGTTTCTGATGCTTCTGAGTATCCAGATCCTTCCCATGTTCTTTTGACAGTTCTGGACAGTGTTCAGTAATGAGACACTAGTCCTCTAACTATACACTTCTGATCCCAATCCTGCCTCCTAACACCAACCCTGGATTCAGTTCCTACACAGATTGCAGCTATCGTCATCATATATATACATAATACATACATACATATATATATATATGTTTGCTCTTTCTCCCTAGGCCCATGTTTTTTCATGCGTGTTTCTACCTCCTCTGTGTGCCCATAATGCTTTCATGTCCATTTCCCACACTCACCACCCTAACCATCTAACAGAGCTGGTGGCTCACCAGTTCTTTTCCTTCCGAAACTAGGTTTCTGTGCAGCCCTGGCTGTCCTGGAACTCACTCTGTAGACAGGGCTTGCCTCTACCTTACAAGTGCTGGAATTAAAGGTGTGTGCCACATCACCCAGCATCACCAGGAGTTCTTAATGGAGGCTTCTGGCTTTAATGAATATCACCTTCTACTACAGAAGCAGGTCTTAGAGACCTAGTGCAGACAGGGATCTCTGCTGTAGAGTGGATGCTAAAGCCTCCATAGACACAGAGGTTAGCCTGTAACACAGCCCAGTAATACAGTGGCCATATTTGGACAGAAAGAGAAGGATGGGGATTTGAGGCCACAGAGAAACACTAAAAATAGAAGCTAAGTGGCCCACTCACAGGGCTGGTGAGAAAAGCAAGAGTCACAGCACTCATGTAGAGAGAAGAGAGACCTGCCAGGGCACAAATGCCTCAGAGTTATGATGTAAGTCATCTGGAGGCTTGGTTTAGCAAAAGCTTTCTGGCCTGCTTTGATAAAATGCATCGCTGGAAGCTTATAAAATCTGAGTCACTGAGCAGCAGCAACAAAGATAAGATGAAAGATTATCAATTTATGAGCAAACGAAGTCTGACTGTTGTGGTCACATGTCTGTATGCAATCAGAAAGGCACAATGACCAGGGTCTATTATATGCGCACTTAGGAAATGAGAGAGTGGACAAAAGCCTTGGCAACTGACAAGGTGGCTGCAGCACAGAAGTAGCATCCACCTCCCATACTCTTGAGACTTTACTTTCCTCACCTTCCAGTACACTTACCTCAAAGGATGCCCGGGGACAAGGTTTCAGGGGCAGATTGGTCCCAATTCTTCTTACCACACTCCGAGCAGCCCCATGTGGCTTGTTTTGCCAGATTGGGATAGTCTAGAGAAGAGAGACGGACAACCCAAAGGCCTCAGAGTGAGTAACTACTGTTCTTGCCTTCCTTTCTCTTCTGGAAGTGAGTCAAGTCAATTATAAGGGCCAGTTTCTACACCTGGTGCTGTTAGTCAGTGGTTGGGAGGGTCCAAAGAAGGAACCAGAATTAGCTCTGGGTATGGACTGTTCTGGTTCCCTCATGTTCCTTTCTCTGCACAAAAAGTAAAAACATGGATTCATGAAATGTACCAAAAAGGAAGTAGGACTGCAGCTTCCTCAAAATCTAGGTCCTCAGTGAAAAGCAAAAATGAACTGGTCTCTCAGGGCCTTGTATAGTTCTTCAGCAAGTTCAGTACTCAGCTCTTCCCCTGCCTTGAGACTCCTTACCACATTGGCTTCCATTCCTGACAGCTCAGCCAGCTCCTGCACTTGAAGGACAAGGCACCCACAAGGCAGCTTGGGAAAGCTGGAGGTATGACTCCTTCATATCAGGCCATTCCTGGGAGCATGAGATCTTTCCTGTGAAACAAACCCAGAGTAGGGACTTGGTAGTCACAAAATAAGCCTCTACAAAGTCACTGCTAAAACCACCTCCAATGTTTAAAGAAAGAAAACTAGCCCAAGAGGAGGCTACCCTTACTCGTCACTGGCTTTTCCTTTTTTTTTTTTTTTTGGTTTTTCGAGACAGGGCTTCTCTGTAGCTTTGGAGCCTGTCCTGGAACTAGCTCTGTAGACCAGGCTGGTCTCGAACTCCCAGAGATCCGCCTGCCTCTGCCTCCCAAGTGCTGGGATTAAAGGCGTGTGCCACCATCGCCCGGCCTTGTCACTGGCTTTTCTAAACCCCGATCCTTACAGGTTATGTTTCAGGTTTGCTGAGAAAGCTTGGCCAACCCAGGGAAATTTCCAGGCTCTAAGGTTAACTGAAGCAAAGCCTCAAAGATGCAGATAGAACCCTTCGGTAGTTACATAGCTCAAAGGAAAGCAAAAGCTGGGTATGATCCAAGCCCAGGAATTTATTCCTGAAAACGCAAGTGGGAAAGAAAGAGTCAATAGCCAACTCAGGCTAATTTCAGTCTACTGGGCTGTGGGGGAAGATGAAAGTGGCCGTAAGGCTGCACCCTATCCCCAGCTGCAAACATTCTATCACAGAACCACACCTCCAGCCTCACGAGCCTTTTTTTTTTTTTTTTTTAAATTTTAGCTTAGTCTTCTATGGCTCTGTCTCTTAACGCTGGTTTCTTCATCTGTAAAATGGGGAAAAGAAAATCTGCCACTTGCTGGGCAGTAGTGGCACACGCCTTTAATCTCAGCACTGGAGGCAGAGGATCTGAGTTCAAGGCCAGCCTGGTCTACTGATTGAGTTCCAGCACAGACAGAGATGTTACAGAGAAAGTGTGTCTCAAAAAAAAAAAAAAAAAAAAAAAAGAGAGCGAGCGAGAGAGAAAAAAACTGCCATTCTAGGCTACCCTAAAGGTCAGTGAAATTGGGGTAGGTGGGTGAACTGCTTACTGAAATTTAAAACAAGACCGTTACTCCTGAGTTTTATTGTAAAAACTCATTTCTAAGAAACAAAGCAATACTCCTGACTGCATTCTTCACAGCTACCTTGGCATGGAGGTTCAGTGAGCTTTATGTCTAGCGAACACCAAGAATATACATTTTTCTAAAGAAGGCTGGGCATCAGGCAGGTGGGTATCTGAGTTGACTACAGCCCAAGACCCCATGTTGAGTTTGGAGAGAGTAGGAAAGAGAGGGACTTGTAAAAGACAACAGAGTAGCCTAAGACACTGCAGAAGGCAGACAGGAGTCTTGTCATGAGGGTTTGCAATGCCTGGGTGAGGAGTCACTGGGGAATGAGGTCTGGTGCTGAACTGGGATGGGCTGAACTTGACGGGAAGTATCTCTTAAGGGAGATCTGGAGTTCCTCTTCTACCAGGACAGCTGTCATGATATACACAGAGAAAGGAAAGGACTTGTCTGGCCAGTCAGTGGCTGTACAGTAGACAGTGCCCAAAGTCTCTGGTCTAAGTTCTGGTATGTGCAGCCCTGTTGACGCTCACAAAGTCCCTGTGTGCCAGACTTCTTGCTGAATGTCATCTAACTGTGCTACTCATGTCTTGCTCCATCTCCAAAGACTCCAGCTGAATCTAATCCTTAGGTGAAGGCAGATTTTAATAAACTGCTCATTCTATTGCTCTGGTGTTTAAATTGACTCTCCTGGACTCTACAGCCCTCCTGCCAGCAGGACCTACCAAACAGCCAGACCCCATCTTCCGGCTCCCCAAACCAAGCTCTGACACTGGCCAGTGCATGCTTTGCGGCCACCCTTCCTTCCTAGTCCTCTGCTCTTGAGTCATCAGCTCCCAACACGCCCTCTCTGAGCCCTGGTCCATACCATTGCCTCCGTGGGACCCGGCAGAACCCTTATCCAGGTCATCCCAGTCCCTCAGCGCTGTGCTCATGCATCACGCGGGTCCTCAGGGCACGCCGTGGCCGCTCAAACCAGAAATGAAGTAACCAATCGGCCCCCGGGGCGGCCTCTGCCAGGCACCGCAAGCGCTCAGCTTTAGGAAACCGTTGTCGGCGACACCAACTTAGCTCCGAGGCCCCGCCCCCCGCGTGCCCGCTAGCCGCTCGCCCGCTCCACAGCCCCGGGTCTTCGCACCTTGGCGCCACCGCAGCCCCTTCCGCAGGGGCAGTGTACGCGCCCCGACGCGCGGCCTCTCTCGGCAGACCCGCTCTGCTCCACGGAGGGCCTTGGCCCGGTACTCCCGGGTCAGACAGAAACTTTGTCCAGCGGTGCCCAGCGGACGCCCGGGCCAAGTGCGCGAGGGTGTCACGCCAGCCGGAGGGAAGGCCTCGCGCCCTCAGCGACGCGCCCCCCGCCCCCCGCCCCCCGCGAAGGCAGCCCGGCCCAGGCCAAGGTCGGCCAAGTCCTCACTGCGCGTCCCGGTGGCCCTTGGACCCACGGGCCGGAGCCTCCGGGCCGGTGTGGATTCCAGAAACGCCACGCGGCCTGGGCGCGAAGCCTGGGGTCGCACGCTAACGGCGGGGTCGACCCCCACGGCTGGGGGACTTGGCCGGCAACTACGCCTCGGGACCAGTGTCCCCGCCAAGGAGGGGCAGACAGCGGCGCCTCCCGCGAGAACGCGCACGGGACTAGGAATCACGCGCTGCCCCTGCGCCCGGACGGAGGCGCTGGCAGCGGACCCGCGGCGCCCACCGCGCCCGCCTCCCTTCGGCGCTGCCCCACGTCGGGCTCACCTCAGACTCAGGATCCGGACTCACCTCAGCCCCTCCTACTATAGCAGGCGGCCGAGCCTCAGACGTCACTTCCGCTGACCCGCCTCCGGAAGCAATCGTTTGCAGCCGCGCAGCATGCCGCACGCTCTGGAGAGGCGGGCTTAACAAGGGGCCGGAGCGGATGCAGTCTCTTGAGTGGACAGCAACCCGGGAAGCCACGCCCCTCTGCAGGGCCCGCCCCCATGTGCGGGTTGCTCCGAGGGCTCGGAGCCTGAGCTTTAGCCGCGGGGCGGGGCTTTGCTTTCTTGTTGCTCTCTACATTTAGTTTCAACTGCTGGACAGTGGTAGTCTGTGTAGCAGCTCAACACTTAAAATAGTTGGTGGCGCGCCTACTCCTGCTGCAAGTCTCGTCTTGGCATTTCTGGCATTCCTGACTAGTCTGGGCTCTTCGTCCCGTTCTGTAGTTGCCTGACACAGGCTCCCATCAAAAATGGCTTTCTCCCTTGACGCAAGCCCTCCAGGACTCCGGAGTAGCTTTCTTCTGTTTAAAAGCTCGGCATCTCACACATATGCATACACATACACACGCGTGCAGCATGATTCAGTTTGTGGGTTAGATGAGTGGATTGATGACACCATGAGACTCTTCCAAGCTCACAAGCTCATTCCTCTGGTCTCCATGGCATCCAGTTAACGGGACACATTGCAGTTTCTGCCGTTGGTACAAGGCTTTGCCTGACTCACCAGTTGCATTCCCTTGGTCCCAAAGCCTGCCATCCCCATCTGCCAGGGACAAATCTGTTGGCTTCGTGGGCGGACAGTCCGATGCAGTCACAATGGGCACTACGCCCAGACCTGCCTGACTATGCCCGTGCATGGTTTCTCTATTGTTCTCTTGAAATTAGTTATGGGTTGCCGAAGAAAGGGTACTCTCCAAGCAACGTGTCCTTAGGTGACTGAGTTATTGAGTGTACTCACACACCTACGTAATGTAGTGTGTGACACCTAAGGGAACTGGTGTAGCCCTATTGCTCCAGGCTGCAAGCCTGTTCGGCTGCGGTGCCGAATCCCAGGGCAGCTGTAGCACAACTGTAAACATTTACATCGAAACACAGATGGGGCCCAGCAAAATTCTTCAAAGACCTCAAAAAAATGGTACTCAACTTCATTTGGAAAAGCAAAAAACCCAGGATAGCCAAAACAATCCTGGGCAATAAAAGAACTTCTGGAGGCATTACAATCCCTGACTTCAAACTCTACTACAGAGCTACAGTACAGAAAACAGCCTGGTACTGGCATAAGAACAGACAAGAAGACCAAAGGAACCCAATAGAAGACCAGGATATCAATCCACACATCTTCGAACACCTGATCTTTGATAAAGAAGCAAAAAATATCAAATGGAAAAAAGAAAGCATATTTAACAAGTGGTGCTGGCATAACTGGATATCAATATGTAGAAAAATGAAAATAGACCCATATCTATCACCATGCACAAAACTCAAGTCCAAATGGATCAAAGACCTCAACAAAAAGCCAGCCACACTGAACCTTATAGAAGAGGAAGTGGGAAGCCACACTTGAACACATTGGCACAGGGAACCACTTCCTAAATATAACCCCAGCAGCACAGACACTGAGAGAAACAATAAATGGGTCCTCCTGAAACTGAAAAGCTTCTGTAAAGCAAAGGACACAGTCAACAAGACAAAATGACAGCCTACAGAATGGGAAAAGATCTTCACTAAACCCACATCAGACAAAAGTCTGATCTCCAAAATATACAAAGAACTCAAAAAATTGGACACCAAAAGATCACATAATCCAATATAAAAATGGAGTACAGACCTAAACAGAGAACTCTCAACAGAAGAATTTAAAATGGCTGAAAGACTCTTAAGGAAATGTTCAACATCCTTAGTCAGCAGAGAAATGCAAATCAAAACAACTCTGAGATTCCATCTTACACCTGAAAGAATGGCCAAAATCAAAAACACTGATGACAACTTACGCTGGAGAGGTTGTGGGGAAAAGGGAACACTTCTGCATTGCTGGTGGGAATGCAAGCTGGTACAACACCTTTGGATGTCAGTGTGGCGATTTCTCAGAAAATTAGGAAACAACCTTTCTCAAGATCCAGTAATACCACTTTTGGGTATATAACCAAAGGATGCTCAATCGTGCGACAAGGACATGTGTTCAACCATGTTCACAGCAGCTTTGTTTGTCATAGCCAGAACCTGGAAACAACCTAAATGCCCCTCGATCAAAGAATGGATTAGAAAAATGTAGTACATTTACACAATGGAGTACTACACAGCAGAAAAAAATAGCTTGAATTTTGCAAGAAAATGGATGGAACTAGAAAACATTTTGAATGAGGTAACCCAGACACAGAAAGACAATTATCACATGTACTCAGTCATAGGTGGTTTTTAAACATAAAGCAAAGAAAACCAGCATACAAACCACAATCCCAGAGAATTTAGACAAAAATATGGACACGAAGAGAGACTTACATAGATATAATTTACATGGGAAGTAAAAAGTAGAAAAAGACAAGATCTCCTGAGTAAATTGGGAGCATGGGGAACTTGGGGGAGAATTGAAGTGGGGGAGGGGAGAAGCAGGGAGGGGAGCAGAGAAAAATGTAGAGCTCAATAAATATCAATTAAAAAAAACACAGATGGGGCACCACTCAAGTCCCAGGTAACAGGAATTCCTCAGTTCCTTTGATTGTAAGATATTACTGTCACACAGCCTCTTAGTGACAAAGCCACCACTGCGTAGCATCTAACTAAATGCTTCTAGCATTTTCCTTGCACTTCATTTTGCACTGGTCCCCATAAGATGTCAGTGGCTGTTTTCGAACCCTAATCTGGACACTGACTTCGCTTGGCCGCGCTAGTCAGTGACAGAAGCACAAAAGGCGGCTTTGGCTCTGCAGTGTGGTTTGCCCCAGAGCCCTCCTCTGTGGACGGCTAGGTGTTGACACTCTCTGGTTCTGCGTTTTTTCCTTGCCCTCTTCTGACTCAACCCTTCTTACAGGTCTCCCCCTCCTGACACCCTCCCCACCATGTGTGTGCACTATGGTGCCCATGTGGATGTCAAAAGACAACTAGGAACTGATTCTTTCCACCACGTGGGATTCAGAGACTGAACTCAGGTTGCTTTACCCAGTGAGCTATCCCACCACCCCTACTGGCACACTTTCTCCCATAATTACCTAATGCCTGCCGTAGGCTCAGCTTCTAGACAATGGGTTTAACCTCAGGACCACTCTCTACACAAAGTTCCAGATTCTTTGGTATATTTTAGATCATTCTGTCTATTACAGACTTACCTTAGGCAAGTCGCTCAAGACCTCTGCTGACAGACAGAACTCCAAAGTCAGACCAGCTCAAATGTGCCCATCCTTGCCCATCTCCCGACAGAGGCAACAACAGTCAGACGGCACAAGGTCGAAAGCAAGCATCCTGCTCAAAGGAAAAGCACCAAGATCCCTTCAACTCTGCAATTTTATTACAGGACATGCTAGGGATGGGGCAAGAGAGAGACAGAGGGGTGACACGCAGGCAGCTGGGGATGTGCAGTGGCATCAGCTGAAGACCCAGAAAGCCCCAGCAGTCAGTGTGGATGGAATCCACTCTGGCCCCTTCTGAGGCTGGGTGGCACACATGCACCATGCCCACAAGATGGCAGAGGCACTGTGAAGCACTCAGGTGCCCTCCTTTTCTGGAGGGTTTATGGAGGAACCTACTCCCCCCCCCCCCACACACACACAGAACCTGGCAGAGCTATTGGCACCTGCCCTGTTCAGTCCTATCATGAATCATGATTTTCTTTGTTTCTTTGAGACAGGGTTTCTCTGTGTAGCTTTGGAGCCTGTCCTGGAACTCACTCTGTAGACTAGGCTAGCCTTGAACTCACAGAGATCTGCCTGCCTCTGCCTCCCGAGTACTGGGATTAAAGGCCTGCGCCACCATCGCCTGCAGGAGTCATGATTTTAGAGGAGTTCCTTCCCACCACGGGGGGGGGGAGTAGGGGTATCAAACAAAGCACCCCCAAACCAACACACAGCCACTGGAGTCACATGGATTTAAATCACAACTCCAGAGCTCTGAGTGACCCTGAGAAGCCACTTGGCTTCCCCAAGATGCGAGCACGTTGGTCTGAAAATGGGGGTGATTTTCTAATTCACTGTTGTGAGAACTAAATGAGAAAGCGGGGGCGGTTGCTGCAGGGCATCCCAGAGACTCTGAGGTGGGTGCCGTGGGTGACTCCAGCAGCAGACAGGGGGTCTGGGCTCAGGGAACGGCTACCAGCCTTCCTCCTCTGCCAAGCTGAAGGCTGAGCCCCTGGTGGGGCAGGAAAAAGAACTGGGCACACAGGGAAGAGGGTGAAGTCAAGAAAGCCTTAATGAGATTAAGATCAAGTGTTCAGTGCAGGACAGAGCTGGTGAAAGGCTGACCCTCGGGAGGACTACTTATAAAAAAGGTAGAAGAGAAGGAAGATGGGTGTATTCCCACCCCCACGTGCAACTGCGAGGACATCAGGCTGGACCCATCCAGGATTTCAGACCCAGCCATCATGCGGCTGCTGCTGGGGGAAGCCACTGCCCCCTTTCTCCTCAGCATTCAGATTTTTAAAAAATATAAACTGTGAGAAAGTTCATATAAAATGAGACCATTCATATAAAAACACTTTTCTGTGTGTATAAAAAAGACTGGCCATGGTCAGTGGTTCAGGATGTGGACTGAGTCCCTAAGAGTAGCTGGGGGGAACTGGTGATCACCCAATGGCAAATGAGTCTGTCTGCAGGACCCTGAGGGCTAGACGGTGCTGGCTGTGGTCTTTGGCTGGGCTACACTTCTACGGAGTAGGGGTCAGGGTGGGAGGTGTCATGGGGACTCCAATGGTCCTGTCATGAACCCGTGCTAGGTGCAGGCAGTAGGACCCCACACTCCAGAACCCATTGATGACGTACAACCTACTTCACAGTGAACTTCAACTCC